ATATATATATATATATATATATATATATTAATAATAGTTTCCTCGTTTCCTGCTTGCTGTTGCAGGTTTCTTTAACAGTTTGCTCTCTCCCTTCACGCGCAACACATTATTTTCCAGGACATTTAACTTCTTCTCTCATATTTCAGATGTCAACTTGAACTTGAACAGGCCACATTATTGAGATAAATATATTTAAACTCAAGATAGGATATACCTTAAGAAGGGATATAAGATGTTAATTTAACGTCCGGTGAGTATGCCGACGAATTACGTTGCTCATTCAGTCTCTGAGAAGCTCATGCTGTCTGACGATAAAAGATGGGGACACCCTGTCTCTAAACAATGTTTGGCAACTTCTAGATTGATCTAGTTACATGACGTGACCTCGCAGTTTGATAGCTCACTCCACCAGAAATGTGGTCAATTTCCAGGCCTGTCGTAAACGGGCTGCTCGTTTAAAAACATGTGCAGTAGCATTGTGGAGTGTTCCTTGTTAGTTTTTTTTATATATTATGGAAAAACATCCCCAAAACTATTCGGTTCCATCATACTAAGAGGGACATCCTGTGTCCCATTTAGACAGTAATCATCCAAGGTAAGACTTTGGCGATGGTCTTCATGACAGCTCCAACACAGTACAGCGAGGCTCCTTTACATGAACGTTAAGAGCAGGAATGTAGAAGTATAATAAAACTCACAAGCGTAGTGACATTACATTACACAGAGGCTACACATTTGTGTAACACCACAATTTATAATCTCTCCATGAAGGACAATTTTTCATTACACCTTTGACTTTTTAAAAATCACAATAATGTGGTCATTTGAAGCACGTAGCACCTTTAAAGCCATTCTAAGTTCTAGGCCAATATCCATACAAACATTTCATAAGACACAGATGGAACCCGTCTCCCGCTTACTTCTTGAATGTGCATGAAGGCATCCCCTAGTAAGAGATATGTGTGAGGGCTGGGCAGCTTCTCCACCATTTCTCTGGAGAAAAGACAAAGGTATCACATCACATATGGTGTACTTCATCATGTAGACATGCAGTATGTCTCTGCTGCTCTGAGGTTCTGTCACGCGCTCCTACATCTCAGCTGTTAATACAAGTAGCAGCAGAGACCAGCAGAGACCAGCAGAAGACTGAAGGCAACTGTGCACGTTTCATCTTTACTGGTTGAATGGCTTCAGTTCAGTTTTTATTTGATTTACTTTAAGCTCGTTGTCTTCTAAAGCCTACTACAGACACAGCTGGATGACATGTTGGTGCACTATGGCTGAATATCCTAGAGAGTCATCTATTTAATTAAGTTTCAGCCATTACCATTCAGACAAACAATTACAATGCATTAGGTTTCAAAGTCGCTCATATGTTCAACTACTATCTTACATCAAGATGTCAGTTAGCGTTTCTTTTTGTACATTTGGATCCAGATGTATTGCTCACCTGTAACAGCTTGCATACAGACGTTTCTCTTTCCTGTGGTTCAGATATATGTATGCCATTTTCTCCTTGGCTTGGATGTAGTAGGGCTGCTCAGGGGTAATGTTTCTGAGCATACTCAGTGCCAGCTCGGTGTCACCCCGCAGCAGGGCCAGGTCCGCATTGGCAATAGTGACACGTAGCTCCTCAGGGGTTCCAGAGAACTCATTGATTGCATCCTGCATCACCTTTGCTGCTTCATGCTGAAGTATTAAACCCATTCATAAGTGTATAACAAGTTTTTTTCCCCCTTCAAGGCCAGTACATTGCTTCACATCAACCATAAAGATCAAAAGAGCGCTTTAAATCAAGCAGGATTGCATCATGTAAGCCTTCTCATATCAAAACTCAAAATGTTACCTGTTCTCCGTTGAGCCACAGGGCCTCAGCTAACTCCAAGAAGACCGAGAGACAGTCGGCTGGACTCAGCTCAATCTTCTTGTTCTTGGATTTGGACGAGGATCCAGCTCTGCGGACGCCTGGAAGACTCATGGCCATCTGGAGTGTCTGAATAGCCTCTGTCAGCTCACCCATTTTCTTCTTAGCCTGAGCATTGATCAGGTGGTACAAGGGATGTTCTCGGATCTGAAAAGGGCAAGACGTCACGGACATGCAATCCCTCGTAGTTAACCAATATCGGGTTGTTTAATTCTGCGGTTGAGTTCATGATTGTAGCAAGAAATGCAACTTTCATCTTCCTTTCACCTGCATTCTTTCCTGTATTACTATGCCCAACTGAATATTACAGATGTATTTGTGCATTTGCCGTGGGTGAAATAAATAAGAGCCTGAGCGCATATTGTCTTGTAAACGTTTAGCAGCCAATAACACTGTCCATGCGGATGGTTGTCTTACCTCAAAGTTATGGCTGAGGCAGAGCTCAAGAGACTGGGAAGACAGTGTGAAGTTGCCCTGCAGCAGATGAATCTGTGCCATTAGCAGATGAGCATCTGCATAGGAAGGACACTGGTCCAGACAATGTTGTAGACTGCTCTGAGCAGCTTCAATGTCACCTGAACGAACACAGAAGCAATGCAGATTAACAAAAGCATTTGCAGAAGAGAAACCAAAACGTATTTTAAATGCAGTGCTCACCAGACTGATATCTGACTTTGGCTCGCATGAAGACACCTTGGGGGAGACATGGCACAATCTTGACCACAGTATCCAACAATGTGGCACAGTGCTGAAGCTGAGGAGCAGGAGGCTGGCCCTGTGCTGGAGGCTAAAACAAGCCAAAGTTGTATTTACTGCAGAGACTCTCAAACGTTTTGTGGCGAGTTTCACCACATAGTCTTATCATACTATTCCCAAATGTGTGAAATAAAGAAACAAAACTATCAATAGCAGCGAAATAAGTATATAAACTGACTGAGGTTCTCTTGCACTACCCACATTTAAGGCTCAGAAATGACATAGACATTTAAGGACCAACAAACAGCCCATCATTGATGAATCTCCCAGTTGTACCTTAGCAGGACACAGTGCTAGATACTCTTTGACAATCTCCAACAAGAAGTCAGGGTTCAGCTTCTCAAAGTACTCCACTCCCAGAGGCAGACTCTGCAGAGTGGAGAAGTGTGTGTCCACTGCATCATTCAGCAGATTGGTCACCTCTTCCTGGGAGCGGCGCTTCTTCACTGCCAGTACGGCACGTAGGTACAGTAGCTCCTGAGGGTGAAATCGTTTTTTAATTGACTTATAGAAGGAGAGACGCAAGATGGTTGGAAACAAAAAAAGAGGCAGAGTAAGGTAGCGGAGAGAGAAAAAGCTGACAAGGCATTCTGTTCAAGATGGATCGAATACACGAGAATAAAAACAGAAAGTCTCCCGGGAAGAATAAGTGAAGAGAAAACACTGAAGACCAGCTGCTGCCTCTCCTGCCAGGTGTAACTGCATAGTCCACTATTATGTAATATACATAATAAATGATTCTAAACCATGATAAGACATAAAAGACGTTACCCCTGATTTTCCAATAGACTGTTGAATCTCTGTGAGAAATTCTAACTGTTGTTCTGCATCTTCAAGGTGGCCCTCTATCAGCTGGCAACGAATTATACCTGAGAAACGGAAATAAAAGATGTTATATCTTCAGAAATATGTAAAAGAATGTATGTATGGACCCAGAGCGTCACGGAGACGACAGATTAATAACTGTAAGACGTTACCAGTCAAAGCCGAAACACTTGTCTCATCCAAAGTCATGGCTGTCTTGTACCACTTCATGGCCTCCTTGATTCTGCCCTGAAGCACCATCTGGTAGCCCAACTCTGTGGCTAAGTCTGAGTCCCCCGATGCCACGGAGAAGGCTCTCTCCACCATCCTAAACGTCTGCTCCATCACTTTCTCATTCCGTCCACACTGTGACAAAAAGACCACTGTAAATGTTGAAATTCCAAACAAGTTAAACAACTCTTCAGCAGTAGGAAGGACACAAAAATGTGGCATTTAAGAATTTAGAAAGAATTCTGAAAATTGTCTTACAACACGGGTGAAGGCTAGAGACATCCTGTAGAAAAGCTCTGGGTTGTGCGGTTCCAGAATCTCCAAGCTGCTGATGAGGTTTGAAAGCTGCTTCACCGACTGCCAAAGGGGGGGGGGGGAGATATAAAAACAGCTTCAGTAAATTGATTAGCAACGCTCCGGCATCAATGACAGTATTTACAATGTTATTTTAATTCCTGCTGATTTGCATCCATGTGAAAATCTTAACTTTACCTCAGTAATATCTCCATCTCTGCATAAAGAATGTAGAGCTAGCATCCGTAGTGCCTCCAGGTTATTTGTATCCTTCTGTAAAAGCCTGAAATATAAAACAAGGTGTTTGTGAATAAGGTCCATCTGCTACACTTGATAGTACTAGAGTATATGACACTGCTGCAGTACTATGTTGAGCTCCCACACAGGTGCGACTTCAATAATCACTCTTCTTCCTCTTCAGCAAACCTGCAGCAGCGAATCCTTGGAATTGTGCGAGACTTCTGCACTTTGGCTCAAAGGCCTTTTTATGCTGTCTGACCCTGGCCAAAGCCCAGAAGCGCGAGCACAAACAATGTTCTAATCAGTATGCACTGGTTTGAGGCTAGTGTTTCATTTGCACTTGAATGCTGTGCCATTTGTAGAGGCAGGCTGTGTTTTTTTTCTTCTTACATCCATGGCGGTGATTGCGAATGTTTTTGTGCTTTATGATATCGCAAGAGACAGGCTTCAGACAGGCTTGTGCTAAGAAAGACGTGACCCTGTGTATGACTTGGGAGAAAACTCCTAACCACCTCATCAGTTACCTGTGTGATGCGCTTATGGTTTGCTCCCAGTCTTGAAGGCTGAGCAACAGTTTCATCTTCTTGGTGAGGGCAGGCAAGAACCCAGGGAAGCTAACAATGACCTTGTTAACCATCTCCAATGCTCCGGAGTAGTTCTGACGATATTCATAGTATTGTGCCTAGGACAGAGGAAACATCACTTAAGGAGTATCGTACACCCAGGCTAGCACAAAATATGACTATTCCTGAACTGAAAGACATTTCATATGGTGAATAAATATGTAAAAACAGTAAATATACACCGATCACAGTGTTGGCAAGGGACACATAAAAAAACGGAGTCAATCAGAAACATATGAAATACTATAAAAGGCATAGGAAATATGAGAAATGATATTCAGCAGTGACTGAGGAAGAACATTCAATATGAATTTGTGATTCCTATTTCACCTTTCCCATCAGGGCAAAAACATCCGCTCTCTCTTTCAGTCCCTCATCGAAGTACTTTCCAGCCTTTCTGGCGTAGGCGTCTTTCCCAGATGTCACATCTATCCAGGCTTTTAGGATCATCCCCTGAACAACAGAAAAACATTCCTAGTTTTACAACAGTGCAAATAGGCGAGAAGCCACGATGCCCCTCTTATCATTACATACAAATGGAAAAGTTATGCTGATGCATTTCTCAAACTTATGCCAAAAATAAAAATCTCACCTCTCTAGAGCCACTGGAGAGTTTGATCATTCTTTCTGTGTACTCCCTTGCCTTATCATTTCGACCTAATAGCCAGAGAAACGTCCCCGCATAGTACAGACTCTTGGGAGAAGCACTTTTTCGATCCTCTTTGACTTTAGCATCAAGTTCTTGAATGACCTCTCTGTCTGGGAATACAAAGACACTTGAATTTTACCAACAACTGTGTCCAGTGCTTTGAGCAAAACATGTGGCATGACTAAAAAAAGGACTATGCTGGCTTACCTGGGTTTATCTTTTTTTTCTCAGCATAGACAAGAGCCATTAACGTGCAGAGAGACACATCTCGACTGTCTCTTAATGTGTCCAACTCTATTGAGGCTTCTTGAATTTGATCTGTAGTAAAATGATGGCAGAAGTGCATGACAGACAGATAGCAAAGTTGTGTGACCTTAACTAGCTCATGCTATGCTATTTGATTATTTCTGGCTTACCTTGCATCAGGGCACCATATGCATGGAAAAAAGTATAGATGGGATCATTGCTGAATTTCCTCTGAGCTGCTGCTGCAGTGTTCACAGCGTGATTGAAATACTTTTCATAGCAATAGCATCGTATCAAAGCCTGGAGAAAGACAGAGTGAAGACAATGCGGATGTACGTTAGGGGTTTATGGGTGGTGATAGCTAGAAAACAAAAAAGCCGCGCTCAGTTACTGCTGCAACCAGTAGCTAAAGTTAAACGGCTTATTGTTGTTAGCGTTATCGTTATCTGAAGCCTTGGGGTTTTCTGTAATTGTGCTCGCTTACCAACGTTGTCTCTTCATCCTCCATCTTGGCTGATTCGCTTGTGTTCAAATGGCTACTCGTGTAAAAAAGATAACTGCCACTTTACCTTGTCTGCATTGTACTTTAGCATAAGAACGACATTATTGCTTTTTACGTTGTGTTTACGCCATCTTGGAACAACTCCTTTAGCGTTACCCCGGTAACTTAGTAACAGCTACGAAAAGGAAATTTTAATTCCCTTAATCAATCCTCACAGGCTCCACTTCTTCGCTGGCTTCCTGTCTTTTTCTGCCTCTTTTAGTATGATTGGCAGATCCAAACCCCAATTATAGTTTGTATTGAGTCCAAAGCCTTTAATGTTTACTTCGTAAAGTTTATTTGTGCAATGATTTACAAACAGTGACAGTCTCTCAGCCTGATTGTAAGCCTGACAGACTAAACTCGGGAAATAAATGCGGAAAATATTGCTGCCCTCTTTACATAGTCGAGCTAGTGACGCCTTTGTATCTCCAGGTGGCGCAGTCATCCTTTTATAAAATGTGACACTACTACTACGACTGATAATAATAATATTAATACAAATAAAAAGAATCATAATAATCACAATACTATTTTAATATTATTAATAATCATCATTCATATTATCATCATTATTATTATTATTATTGAGATAGTGCTTTTAAGGCAAGGAAGAGTGTAAGGGAAGGGGAGTGGTTATAGCCAACGAATGAATTCATTGGTGAATTGTATCATGTGCCATGATTTTATAAGACACCAAATCAAATTAACTTCCAGGGCATTTGAAGCAACAAGCAGAACAAATATTGCACATTGAGGTTACATCTACTTTGAATATATGGAAATTATTTCAGGGAGCTCACTGGCTTGAGTTACACCATAACACTCACGGAGTTTGGATTACAGTGGTGATAGGCTATTGTTAGGTTGGCCCACTGCTTGCCAACACAGTTAACCATCCTTAGTATGGGAAAGACATTAATGTCAATATCTTATCTCATTTTCGTTATCGTGCAATGTAAATTGTATTATAACAACAAAACAACATTTGCGCAACTTAACTTATAGTTTACCATCTGGCGTGGAAGCATATTTCCATCCTGCCAGCTGTGGCCCAATCTTATGCAATGCCATGCATTGACTGTTAAGTATGAACTCTTGATGTCTGCAGTGTTGAGTCCATGACAGGACCAGTCAGTGTCCAGTATGGGTGCAACTGTTCCAAGAGAGACCTTTCCATCCCTGTCAGATACTATTTAGCACTAACTGTGGCACATAATCATTACTCTCTGCAGCGCACATCAATGAAAAAGTAAATCGGGTTGGTATCGAGCCCTGAGCATGTGCAGCAATGGGAAAAGTCTGTGTACTGTACCACACAATTTAGCGCACAGTTTTAAACCAATAATGTTGGAGGTAATTATACCGTAATTAATATACATGATGAATAATACTATTTAGTATGAACAACTATGTGTTTATTAATTCATTAATCCAAAATAAATTAATATTATTTTCCATAATAATCCTACAGAGTAATTACATGGCAGATAATCAAGGTGTTGTACTTAGCAAAGAGCAATGAATACTGCATGTGTTTTTGCACTTACAAAGAACGCATCTGAAAACCTATTAGAGGAAAGATAGTGGAATATGTACCCCTTGGGATATGACGCTATTGCATTCTAATGGCTATACCCATTGTGGTTTGTAGAGACCATTATTGATCATAGAGCCATGCCCAATAATACAAGCTGTTCCCTTGCAAATTAACTCCTTTATTTCTTTTTGCATATTTGTTACTTGTGATTTGTTTGCTCTTCACTTCAGTGCACATAGATGCATGTACTAATTTACCCTACAAACAGATGTTGATGTTCATGGATTTCTATTTTCTAGCAGTAACTATATTGTTGTCATACCTCATGTTTTTTTCGTGTGTTGTGAGCAGGTTGTGAGTTACTGAGGGAGTGGTTCCCTTGAAACAGTGAGTGTGTGTGTGTGTGTGTGTGTGTGTGTGTGTGTGTGTGTGTGTGTG